AACTTGCTATAACTTTTTTATAAATAGATTTACAAAATATTTAAGAACGTAGAAGTGTTTAGCTTGTTTTAATTTAGAATTTTAAGATAGAATTTTTTTTTTACTATTTTTTTTAAAAAAGGATTAGCAATTTGAATTTCATTAATTATATTGGTTGGGACTAGGTTGTCCACACTGTAGTAAAATAATTAACTTACTCAAAAATGAATATCCTAATTATTCTATTAAGCCACGAAATATTTATAATATAATAAATTGATTAAAAGGTACAAATAAAAGACTTAAAAATAATGCAGCTGATTTATTGAATTACCTTTTATGACAAAAAACATTGGACCCTGGTTGTGTAGTTGAGCTTATTATTGGTGATGTTGATAATGAACTTAGAGATATTTTCTGGCAATCAGATAAACAAGTGCAGCTAATGTTAAGATTTAATGATGTTTGTTTATTGGATACAACATATAAAACTAACCAATATTGACGACTATTAGTTTTGATAATTGTAGTTGATAATAATACAAGAAGCAGATTAGTTGCTCAAGCATTATTGCCAAATAAATCCATAAACTCTTTTAATTGGCTTTTTACATGCCTTAAAAAAGAAAATCCTACTTATAAATCTGGCATTATTTTTTCTAATTCAGATTATGCAATAGCTATAGCGATTTCTACAATATTTCTATTAGCTTATCACTATCTTTGTATATTTCACATTGGTAATAATATTAAAAAAAAGGCCCGATTAAAGCTTGGTAAACAGTATAATCAGTTTATAAGCAGCTTTTATACTGCACAGAATGTACTACAAGTATCTGTATTTGAAAGTAGATATTAGCAGCAGCTAATTGAAACTTAACCTAATATAGGTAATTACCTAAAAAAACTTTATTAGTTAAAAAAAAGTTGGGCTTGCTGTTTTACAACACAGATTTTTAATGCTGGTATTCAAAGTACCCAATATGTAGAATGTTATAATAACATTATTAAGAAATGTGTTAATCAATCATTAACTTTAATCAAGTTATATAATGCAATTCAAGAATGACTTGATCAAGAAAATAGATATAGTCACTTTCAGAAAACTTTAACTTTTAATACTGTAATTGTAGATCACAATCAATAAGTCAAACATTATTCTCTGAAATTATTGCAATATGTGAAAAATATCTTAAACTTTATATAATTGCTAAAATAAAGCAACAAACTCAACAAGCACTTTGGTATTGATATTCTTTATTTAATATTTTAGAAGAACATTGTGCTAGTGAACCAAATTTTACAAATACTTGTATTAAAAATAATTATAATTCTCAACAAATTCATCTTAATTCACTTTTACATAATATATTATATAATAGTATTAAAGAAGCTTGGCGTATTGTTAGACTTACAGGTTCAACAAATATTTACTATATTATCTTATTTCATAATGGAACATTTTTATACATATGTACTTGGCCTATTTGCTATGGAATTCCATGTCAGCATTATTTTGCTGTTTTTTTAGAATCAAGTATAGCTATTTTTCATATTTCTTTTATAATGCAACACTGGTATAAAGATATTTATCTTAATGAACTAGAAGAAAGCTTTGATCATATTTCAGCAATTCGACCACATTATAATAAATCTTCATCTGCAATTATATTTGCACCTATTTTATCAAATCAAACTATTTTATCAAATCAAACTATTTTATCAAATCAATTTATTTTATCAAATCAATTTGAAAAACTTACTTTTATACATAAAGCTTCAGAATTTAAAAAGCCAAATAAAAAGTTTCTTCAAGATAGGATATGTTATGGTAAAAGTTATAGATTATTACAATCAGTTTTAACTTTAGCAATAGAAACTGAAACAAATAAAGAAGTAAATAATTGGTACTATCAGTTTATTCAACAAAAAAGAAAAATTTCGAAAGTCTCATTAACTACTTCTAAATCAAATATTAATGAATCGCTAGATTAAAATAATAATGATTAAGAAAATAATCAAGAAAATAATCAAGAAAATGATCAAGAAAATGATCAAAAAGATGATCAAGATGACAATTAAGATGATCAAGAAAATAATCAAGAAAATGATTAAGAAAATACTATTTAAGTTACTAATCCAAACATTATATAAACTAAAGGTCAGCCAAATTTAAGGCAAAAAAGTGCATTAGAATTAGAAAGCAAAAGACTATTATGAACTAGACTATTATTGCAAGGACATAATATTCGCTTATATAAATTGCAACAAAAAAAGTAAACTTTAATTAGTATTAATACATAGTAAATTACAATAGATATTGTAATATAAACTTTAATTAGCATTAATATGTAGTAAATTACAATAAATATTACAAACTAATAAAACTTTATTACTACATATTAGTAAATACAAATAGTTATAATAGCCACAGTTAAATTTACATTATATATTATTTATAACTATCTGGTTAAAGTTAATCAGTGGCGCAAATTAAAATTGTTCATTTAAAATGATTGTATATTTATAGTATAAAGCATATTAAAAAAATATATAGTCTATAAAATCATGTTTAGGATTCTCAAAATTCATATATATGTTGTGCCTGAGATCGATGCTTGCGTCAGGTGACAGTTGACGCACCTCAGATATCGATCATTAGATGAAGCA